CATGCCATCGCTTCTGTATCTGGTCGGTTGCATTCGTCTTTGCTGTCCTTTTTAAGTATTTTGCAGTTTCAGCCGGTGTATTGTGCTGTAGTTGCATCTCTACGCCCATTTGAAACTCCATTTTGAATTTGTTGGCTTCTTTCATTACGGAATAAATACGCTTACTAGTTTCATGTTCCTTGACGCATACCATCATCCAGTCTTCTGTAGTTTCCAAATATCTTTGGAGGCCAATTGTTGTAGTTTTGTAGGACAGTTCTAGTTGAACTAATCCTCTGCCTCTTTCGGATCTGGGCACATACAGACGATAAACATCAGCTTTGAGATGATGCATGCGATAGCAAGTGAGAAGCTTTCTCGTTTTGGCATCCATTCGCTTAATTTCAGCTATGGTCCAGTTAAGGACATTAAAGCTGTATTGCACCACAGGGACAGCCAATGTGTTTATGGCTGATATTCTGTTTTTTGAGTTTAGCTCAGTATTTAATACCAGACGTACACGCCTGTAGTACTCTTTTCATGTTTTTTTTTCCTTCGCTAATTTCTTATAAGCTTCATCATGCTCCAGTTCCCTAATCTTTGTGACAAAATCTAAATCTATTAAGGGTGTTTCTGTAATTCTACCTTTCTTGAATGTTACTTTTGCACATTTATCTAATCCGAAGTCCATACCTATGTCGTCACTGAAGTATTTTACAATATTGAGGAGGCCTTTCAACTCATTGTCGTCTTTGGCAAAGAGTTTGAGATCATCCATTTAGAGTAGGTGATTGAATATTTTCTTATATATTTTGTAACCATAGCTACTGTTGTTCAGTTCATGTGTAAGAGGGATTAAGGATAAACAAAACAGAAGGGGTGACAGAGAATCTCCTTGAAAGATTCCACGTCGGATATTCAGACGGTTGGATATGGCAGTGCCCTCGGTGTGACTAAGGTATAGTTTGGTGTTCCACATTCCCATGTTGTCCTTAAGAAAATTTAATACCACAGGGGAGACTTTGTACATTTCCAAAGTCTTAAGGATCCAAGAATGTGGAACACTATCAAAGGCTTTACGATAATCAACACACGCTGCACTAAGATTTCTGCGTCGTCTTCTGCAATTTTCGAGGATCATTTTATTTATCAGAAGTTGATCTTTGCAGCTATATGAACCTCTTCTGCATCCCATCGGTTCCAGCGGGAGATGCTGTTTGTTTCGAAAAAGGAATAAGTACGGTTCGTCAGTCCAGACGTGATCAACTTATACGTTGTGGAGAGACATGTTATAGGTCTATAATTTTTCGGGTCGTCTGTTTCAGTCGTTTTTGGTATGAGGTGTGTAATACCTTCAGTAATCCATTCCGGGATTTTATTGAGATTATTTACAAGCGTTGATAATGTTTTTGCAAGAATTTCATGGGTAGATGTGAGATGATACAGCCAGAAATTGGGCAACTTGTCATTTCCTGGGGATTTCCATTTTTGGGATTGCGTTAGAGCTTAATAATAGAGTTATTATTATTATTATTATTATTATTATTATTATTATTTCGATTTCTGCTTTAGTCACACTGAATACGAAGTTTATGGGGAGACCTAAGGCAGGAAGTGGTTTGTTGTTATGGCAACATTTCATGATTTCATAACTCCTATATCAAGACAATATTTTGTATTTCTCTTAAGCTGGGATTTCCAAGGATTTTTTCGAATTGTCCTTGTCTTCTTGTTTTCATATTCCAAGCGGACCTACTATGACTGGTACTATCCTCAATTTTTATTTCGATTTCCAGGTCTTTATATTTCGATATTTAAAAAAAAATGTTGCTATTTTACAGCATGCTGGGCAAGCCATATCAATTATTAGGATTTTTTTTCTTTTTTTTTCTGTTTTTGAGAATAATGTCCAGCCTATTTGCTACAATCTTAATTTCTGTAAAGATGATGTAATCCAATAGAATTGTGATGTATTTTATTCCTGTAACTGGTGCTGAGTGATGTTCATACCAGTGTTAACATTTTTTTCCAAAGTGTTTACGTATTGGCCAGTGTAAATATTCGCACACTCTATCGTGACGATTTTTATATTCATTTAGCACAACTATAGAACATCATGAGATTAGACCGTCTATAGTAGCTAACCATGAGAATCTAAAGTTATTTTCGGAGTCAACACCATCAAAGTAGCTAAAAAACATGTTTTGCTTCTTGGCACCAAAAATCGCGTTTGACCATTGTAATCATCGAAGCCGCAAGCCATTCAGCAATAGTAACTGAATAACTCTGTAATAAAATAAAATATATTTTTAACTATGGCATAATCAGACTCCGTTTATTAGTCTATTCATACATACACACACATCCATATATATATATATATATATATATATATATATATATATATATATATATATATATATATATATATATGATATGTCCCGGAAAGGGATATATTTGATCGAATTAGCTAAGTGGGTTTTGGTTACTGTAACCAAGTAATACACGGTAGCAGTAATCGACCGGTACTCGTCGTAGTCGCAGGTAATAGGTGTAGACCAATAGGATAGCCAATGGCGTAGTCCAATGGGCGTCGTCATAGACTTACACTCTGTCATACCTACAGGACCGTCTGTATTTATGACTGACATCAACCAATCATATTCCAGTGAGGGGGAACACAGGTGTATGCATATTCAATTATATCAATATATATATATATATATATATATATATATATATATATATATATAATTTGTAGGTCTGATGAATTGATTCTATCCTCTTGAAATATATAATATATATATATATATATATATATATATATATATATATATTTTTCATTAAAAACGACAGACGAGGTACTACGGTTAAGCTTTTTATTTAATTTTTCTTGTGTTCTGACAAGAGCTTTCTTTTCTGGACAAAGAGTGTGTAAGAACTGTCCGAATGTTCAGTATTTCCGAGCGCTTTCGGCTATACCTTTAGCCATTATCATGGATGATTCGATTATCAGCTTAGTAGAGTGTGTGCATTCTGTGTATGTTCAGTGTGTGGTAGTGATGTTTTGAATTTCCGAATACGGTTAGCACATTATGGCTTTGTTCATAGTTAATATTGTTAAGAGTTCGTTTTTTCTTTTTTATTATTAGAGCTTCCATTATTTTTAGTGAATCCACTTGCAAAAAAAGACTAAAAATAATGGGCTCTAATCATAAAAAGAAAAAAACTCTTAACAATATTAAAACAAAGCCATAAAACCGTATTCAAATTAAAAAACGGACAGTTCTACAATCAACAAAGTACCTTCTACTGTCGTTTTTAATGAAAAGCATAAAGGAAGATTGCTAAATAAAACTACATATATATATATATATATATATATATATATATATATATATATATATATATATATATATTGTGTGTTTAGGCAGCATATTCATTATACACGTTTCATTAAATAATATAGACAAGTGTTGTCTATTTATTTTATGTAAAATTTTTCGTATCTTCTGATAAGTTTGGTAACATTATCATTTACCGAAAAAAAAAATTCACAATATTTATCCATTATTTTTAATAAAATCTAAGCTTTCGGCTTACTCAAGCCATTATCAAAGATGTAAATACAAACATATCAAACAATATATGGACACGACAGTGATGATATAGTCTGTCATTGTTATGTTTACATAGTGGATCACTAAGCAACGATGAACACGCGCATATAAGACGCTAGAAGCGAAAATCGCACCGCATCTCATGACGTCACACATGACTTTGATATGTTTGAATGAAATAAGGAAAGCCGTTGAGTATAGCCAAAAGCTTAGTTTTTATTAAAAATAATGGAATTGGTAACAGAATATTTTTTCAATAATTGGTAATGAAGCCATTGGTTATACCAGAAGATACGAAAAATTTTTACATTCTCAATTCAACACTTGTCTATATTATCCTTGTAAATATATATATATATATATATATATATATATATATATATATATATGCGTGTGTGTGTGTGTGTGTGTATACGCTTTATTATTATGCCCTTACTCATACCTTACTTTTCTACTACCTTTCAATTCTATTTCTTCAATTTGTTTTATTTGCGCGTTTTATTATTATTACGGTTGAGATTACCACGTATTTTTGATCAACGTTATACAAAGTTCGTTGTTTTAGTGGTGGTAAAATCTATTATTTGCGCAATGTTAATGCAGGCATTTCATCTATACTTGGAAGATGGGTGCATCACACTCGTCCTGACTCACATTCTACAACACGGCTTTTAAATCATGAAGCAAACCTTAATATAACGCAACTACTAGTGGCACATGTCTTGGAAACGTAGAAATCAATCAAATTAGCGATGCCAGAAGACTAATATATCCCGCTGGTGAAACGGGACTGGCGAAGCGTCATGTGCGCAAAAAGCATATAATCACGACAGCTCTTCTTGCTAAGATGTTGGTCGAATAAAACGGCCAAGCCATTCAAGAAAGAAGGAACAACGTAAAATAGAACTGTAACTCGATTTGAAGGCTCCATTATCCATCGTCAGGCTGACATTGGGAAGGTTTCGTTTTTTTTTCGCCTTTACCCTCAACGTGTCACCTACAACACATTTGCGCGCGTGCGCATACACACACACTCTCTCTCTCTCATATATATATATATATATATATATATATATGTGTGTGTGTGTGTGTGTGTGTGTGTGAGAGAGAGAGAGAGAGAGAGAGAGAGAGAGAGCAAAATCGTAAAAATTGTGTCCATTAATCATAATGGTGTTAGAACAGATTCTATCCAACGCGAGTGTTTTCGGAAGATGTACAAAAAGGGCTGAATGTCATAAATCCTTTTCCCGCCATTTGGCTCTTTATTGCCTCCCTTTTTGCATTTTCCTTTTTTTCATGGTGCAAATGGTACCATTCTGACATTTCTTTCTCCTTTAATTCATTATTCATGATAGGATTTTGTTTCATTTGCTTTATTCTTCCGTTTGTTTCTCTCAAACTATGTACCTTCTTCCTTTCTTTTCAGTTAAACTTTATTCCCTGAATCGTATAATTTCACTTTCATTTTCCACTATTTATTTAACATCTTAATGATAACTTTGACTACAGTTGTTATCGATGTTTCCTTAATCATTCCTTAGTTTTACATTTCCTTTCCTTTCTGTTTCTTTGATTTGTTTTATTTACGTGGTTCATTCGCATTTCTTTCTTTTTGTATTCGGCCATGTTTTAATTCTCATGAAGTTTCATTTATTCCATTGTTTCTATTTATTTTCCGTTTTCCATTCTGTTATGTCATGACTCCTTGCATTTCTTCATAGTTTATTCGTTCCCGCTGCTTCTTCATTTGTCTTTAGATCTTTTCTCCATTACTTTCTTTCTTTCTTTCTTTCTTCCGTTATCGTCTTTCTGTCGTTTTTAATTTCGACCTTCCTTCCATCTAGACTTTTTTTCCATCTATATTTTGCTTTCGTTTTAATAATCGTTTGTTTCTGTTTTTTTTTTCTTTTTTCTGTTAAAATCGTTTATTTGCTTAATCCTCATTTTTCCCTCTGACTGGTCTTTCTTCTTTTCATTCTTTCTACTTTTATTTTTCCTTTTCTTTCTTCTCGTCCATAATTTTTATTATTCTTTCCTTTCTCTTTTTTATTTTCATTTCGTTCGATTCTTTTATTCATTCTTTCCTTCTTTCTTTCTTTGTTAAATTCTGTATTTACATTTTCTTCCTTTATTTATTTTTCTACTCCTTTCATTTCATTCTGTTTGCATTCTTTCTTTCTTTCTTTCTTTCTTTCTTTCTTTCTTTCTTTCTATTACCCCTTGCTTATTTTTCCTTTCATTCTTTCTGTATATATTTCTGTCTTTAATTTCACATACTTTCAGTTGTTTTTCCTTCCCTCCTTCTTGACCTTTTTCTCTTTTTTTTAATTCCGAACTTACATTACTTTTGTAATTGTTTATTCATTTACCTGTTTCATGTTTCATTTTTCATTGTTTACTAGTTTCTTTCTTTCTTCTATTTGCTGCATTCTTTTGATTGATTCTTTCTTTCTTTCTTTAGTTTGCTATCTTCGTTTTCCCGTTTTATCGTCCTTCCTCCCTTTAATTTTTCTTTCTTTTGTTCTTTCCTTCTTTTTCCTTTTTTTTCTTTCTTTCTTTCTTTTTTCTTTCTTTTCTTTCTTTCTTTCTTTTTTCTTTCTTTTCCCTCCATCCATATGTTTTAATTTTTATCCTTTTCTTTAGCCTTTACCCAATTTATATTTCGTTGTTTCTCTCTTTTAGAGGTTATAATCTTTCTTTTTTTTTTCTTTCTTTCGTTTTTTCTTCAAACATATTCACTGGCATCTTACCTTTTCTTTTAACATTCTCTCTACTTTATCGATTAAAGTGGTTTGACTTCGTCTTCGTCTCTTTCTCTCAAAGTATCCTTAATATTTCATTTTGCAGGCTTTCATTGATTTTTTTTTTACATTTCTTTTCTTTTATTCATTCTATTTTTATGTACAGTTTTTTTTTTTCTAAACTTGCTTGAGACAAAATTCTATTATTCCCCTTTTTTCTGCCTTCACATGACACAGCTTCAAAGAACATTTTAACCCTCAAAAGCCTTTTGCTGCTTCAAAGTTACTCTCGTCTTTCTCACTTCATAGACATAATGCACAGAGCCAAACTTTTCAGGGTTTTTTGCTCGTCTCCAGGACAGTGATTCCATCTTCAACCTAGACATTTTTAACATTACTGCTTCTCAGTTTTTTCCATTTTTCTTCTTTTTTTTCTTTCGTTGTTGCTTTCTATGTATTTCTTTCTCTAATATTTCTATGACTTATTACCTTTTCACAATCCCCGTCGTTCTTTCTTCCATTCTTTCTTTTACATTTACTCTTGCAGATTGATTATAACATTTTACGTTTCTTACATTACACTTCCTTTTTTCGTCCTTTTTTCTTTCGTTGTTTCTTCCTTTTTCTTTCTTTCTTTGTATTTCTTTCTCTAATATATCTATGACTTAAGATCTTTTCACAAACCCTGTCTCCTTTCTTTCTTTCTTCCTTTTTCTTTCTTTCTTTCTTTCTTTCTTTCTTTCTTTCTTTCTTTCTTTCTTTCTTTCTTTCTTTTGCCCCTGCAGTATGTCTACATCTTATGTTTTTCACATTAACACTTATACTTCTTTTCTTTCTTTCTTTCTTTCTTTCTTTCTTTCTTTCTTTATTTATTTATTTATTTATTTATTTATTTATTTATTTTGCATTTTCCCCTGCACTATGTCTACAACATCTTATGTTTTTCACATTAACACTTATATTTCTTTGGTTTGTTTTATTTTCTTTCTTTCTTTCATTCATTCTTTCATTCTTTCTTTCTTTCTTTTACGTTTTGAATGAACAACTTACGTTTACTTCCTTCTGTCTCTTTAGCCTGCTCTCTATTTGTTTAAGTCTTTCCTCTTCGTTTTACCAATTTTTTTTAAAAAGCTATTTTACTGCTTATTATTTATTTTTCACCTATATTTAGTCTCGTTTTTTCGCCTTCATTTCATCACAATTTGTTGATATTTATTAACAAACTCATGTCTTTTTTTTCTTCGCTCTGTTCCATGTTTTTTGTCTATTTTGGTCTACGACTTTTTTTTAATATTTTTCCTTCGTCATTTTGGTTATTCCATTTTGTAGGCGTTTCCCAATCTTTCTATATTTATCCAGTATATTCTTGCATTTTATTCTTGTACATTTCGTTTTGGTATATTTTCCTTCGTTTTTCACTACGTGCAAAACTGTTACATTGTTTTTTCTTTCATTTAATTTCCTTCCTTCTTGAGGTGTTTAATGTCAGTTTTGATTTTAATATTTAGCTTCCATTTTTCTCCTCAAACTTACCTTTTTTTTAATTTTTCATTTCTTTTTTGGCTTTTCTTTCCAATGTTTTCTCTTTTCGCCTTTATTTATTATGTTCATCTTGCTTGCCCACCCCTCTCTCTCTCTCTATTTCTTTCATTTCTTCTTCCTAACTTTTTTTTCTTTATACGTTCTTTTTTTTTTATCTTGGTGATTTCTTTAACTTATTCCTTCCAGTCTTTTCCTTTTCAATGTTTGTTTCATTATTTATCTTGTGCAATTTTCTTTTCTTTCCTTTTTCTTTGTTTAGTTTTTTTCTTTGTTTCTTTTACGTTAATTTTTAATTTCATTTTTTTTGTAACATTTATTTCATTTTCATTTCACTTCACTTTATTTTTTTTAATTCTCATTACTTTCTGCATTCTTTCAGTATTAGTATCATTAGTTTATCTTTTACAGTTTTATTCATTCTCTTTATTTTTCTTTCTTTCTTTCGTTCTTTATTTCCTTCCTTCTGTTTCTACGTATTCATTGTTTTTTGTTTTCTTTCATTCGGCCTTCTTTCTTTTTTGCTTTCTTTCTTTCTTTGTTTGTTTCTTTCTTTGCATTTCTTTGTATGTATATATAACTTATAACAGTTTCACAATTACCGTATTCTTTCTTTCTTTCTTTCTTTCTTTCTTTCTTTCATTCTTTCTTTCTTTCATTCTTTCTTTCTTTTTTTTGCATTTACTCTTACAGACTGTTTATAACGTTTTACGTTTTACACATTGCAATTTGTCTGTCTTTCTTTCTTTTTCGTTCTCTCTGTCTCTTTATTTCATTCTTTTTTCCATTTTCTTTCTTTCATTCTTTCTTCTCTTTCTACGTATTTATTCAGTTTTTCTTTCTTTGTTTTTTCCAACTTTTCTTCCTTTATTATTTCTTTCTTTCGTTCTTTCTTTTGCATTCAAACTTGCAGACTGTTTATAACATTTTATGTTTTTCACATTACAGTTAATCTTTCTTTCTTTTTTCTTTGTCTCTCTCTCTCTCTTTCTTTCTTTCTTTCTTTCTTTCTTGCATTTCTTCCTCCCGTGTATCTATACCTTTTCAAATTCCCCGTTTTCTTTCTTTCTTTCTTTCTTTCTTTCTTTCTTTTCATACCTTAGTTTGTCTTTGAGTTCTATTTCTTTTTTTTCTCTTCATATTTGGCTCTGGTTTCTGTGAACCAAAATGCACCAATTCTGGTGTCTGCGATTGTTGATTTATTAATGCCCTTTACTTTAACACCAGTCTCTAAATAAATTCTAAAAACAAACAAAAGTAAAAAATAAAATAAAATATATGAATAAAGTAAGAAAATGTCTTCGGAAATATTCCTGGTATATTCCTGAAAGCTTTGTACATTATTAAATAAAGAAAACCTCCTCGATAAATGTCACCTGTGTACTTTCTACTTTCTGCTTCTGAACGAACATCTTCAGTTCTGAGAATGTCTGAAAGTACATCGAAATTTTTCATTTATATGTAAAAATTCAAAGAGGAAAAAAAGCAATCCAACCTTCGAGCTATACTTAACAAAATGCCCCCACGACCGTTTAATCGGTTTTAATATCATATCGTTATAATTTAACCCTGTGTTCACCTAAGCACACCTTAGTAAATATAATCAATGGTGAATTGGTTAAATATTTCACATCGCAGAGCCTTTTTTTAGACAAGTAATGCGGCTTCATTTCTCTCCAGAATCTATCGAACATATCTATAAGTCTACCGTTGGTCTATGCCAGGGGTTGGCAACTCATTCGACCGCGCGGGACGGATTGTATCATAATGACGGGTCGCGGGCCGGACGAAGGCCATTAATAAAAAAATTAAGGAAAATTACATATGCAAACCCCTGTCAACCTAAATATTTAAAGCCATAATGAAAATAAACATTGAGAAATCAGAAAAACAAAAAAAAATCTAAAATTAAAAAACACCTAACAAAAATTATTTTTCCTCAAGGGACGTCAAAATACTTCAAAGTGAACAAAATCAACCGATGTGAAATGGATGAAATTATGATGTGTAGGTTTGAAACTGTTTTCAATTTGCAGAGTAATTAAGCTTTAAAAAGCCTGATATATTGCCCGTGTCGAGCCAGGCCGCATGCAAAAAAATCAGTGAAAGACTCTTGTTTGAGAAGAAGACGGGTATGATAAGATACGAACATGGCCCATTGAACGATTCCAGCAACTTACATAGGGTAGGTGGTAGGGGTAAGCGATGTGGGGGTCGCTGTTGGAGAAATGAAATAGAAAGCCGACTGAGACAACATTGTCCCTTTGAAGCTGTCGGTCGGTCGGTCAAATCGGCTCTCAGTTTTTTTTTTTTTTTTTTTTCATTTTTTACGCTGAAACGAGTCTCTATGCTCAGGATATTGCTGCCATATATGGTCCGGTGCTCCTGCAATTTATCTAGAGATGCTTGATCCCAGAAGAATCAGCAGGTTTATTGGCACTGATCTAGTCTCTCGGCTTCAGTAATTTTCCAACCGCTGTGAAGTCGTTTCCCTGTGTCTTTTCTATAAATACTTTCATGGTAATAGTTCGGATGAGTGCCTAGACTATTTCAATTTAAACGTAGTACTACACTAGCGCCGAAGTCTCACTAATTTACGATTTTGTTGGCTAGACGTAACTATAGGTTCTACATTTTCTTTTTTTTCTTACTTCTCGCTGGTGGAAATCCCTTTCGCCACAGGCCACATTAATCTTCAAAAATTTAAATCTAATGTCAATCTCTGATTAGACTTCTTTTGTTCTCGGTCTGAAGCAATGATTCTGTTTCAAACCTTTCTACACCTTGTAACCCCTTGTGTCTCAGTAGCATGGGATGTAGTCGTTAAAATATATGGTCATCTAACGCAGAGTACATCGTTGTAATGATTAATAAGGTAACATCGGAAATCCTTATGACTGAGATTAATCCTCAATGAGAGGTTTATTCTTGTCGAACGTAAGTCAGTAGTAAATATCTTATAAACATGTCTTATAAACAAAGATATCTTATAAATATATTATTAAAATGTCTGGAAAAGCGTTTCACTGTCGATTAAAGTCGATTCGTTGTGCGGATTGACGATTATCTGGTTGCTGCATCCCAACTGGCGTCAATTTGCCTGAACAATTTGACAGCGCTTAGAGAGGTTTCTCTGTTCAACAGGTAACTTTCATCCTTGGCCTTTTACGTCCCAGAATCTTATCTTATGACAGCAAAAGTTTATCAGAATAAAACTGAATCGGTTTGCAAACAACAAAACAAAAAAAGCTCCTAGGCCCCTCAGTTTTATTGCTCCAACATTCGTACAACTTTCAGTAGTGTAGAACCGTTTTTCTTGGAGCGCTCTGTGAAACTTACTTTATCTCCACAATCTCTGCCGATGAATTCTCTCTTGCTGGCTATCGTGTCCTTTATTGAAATCATTTTCTTGTGAACATGAGTGCCTTCTGTGTCTATGATTAGAAAAATATCCCATGTCAATGAATTTGTCTCCTGAGTGTACGGATTGCTTTTATATGGGTTTCTGACTTGCATTATAAAATATCAATTATTTATTTTACTTCTCCTATCATTACACAAAACGTGTCTTCAATTATTTTATAATTTTTTTTCTATTTGAATCTGAATATGTTGCCAAGTTTCCAATATCAAAGTTGTGTGGTCCTCTAGCTAGTGTTTCATTTTGGCGTCTAAAATTGATAAGCGATCAAATTTTGGTCAAAAGTTCATGGGATAATATTCTACTCACAAAAAAAAATCGGATATCAAATTAATGAAGCTAAACCACATGGATCTTGCTAAGAAATTTGGAGAAAAAAGTAAGATAATATTATACAATCAAAAATCAGGAGAGATGAACTGCTCTTGTCTACAAAATACAACTAATAACATTTTACCCCTGAATGAACTAATTGTAAGATGTCATACCGAAAATAATATATATATATATATATATATATACTTTTATCTGAAAGTATAGAATAGATTTCTCTCTCTATATCTATCTCTCTCTCTCTCTCTCTCTCTCTATATATATATATATATATATATATATATATATATATATATATATATATATATATAAGTAATTCATCGAATCTAGAAGAAACCTCAACAGAATGGAGCAAGCACTGGACAGTCGTTTCGTTGTATATTTGGGACACATCAGCAGTGCGCATCCGCTATCGAGAATTGAAACCTGGATTGTTACCATATCAGGCAACCATCATGCCAACTGGCCTCGGTGACGAAGAGGTAACGGATTAGACTCGGTATAACGCTGCTCGATCACATATTCCGTGGTGGACCTCATCTGAGTTTCCCTTAACCATAGGACTGTGCCCCCCCCCCCAACGTGCCATGACTACTATCCCAAAGCCGCTCCACCCAGCGCATTAGAATCCGGTTTAAGCAAGGATATACAAGTGATAGAAATTATTAGGATACCTTAGACTCGAAGAGTTACTTAATTATGATTATCTCAAATCCTCTTAATAATTTATTTACATACACACACACACACACACACACACACACACACATATATATATATATATATATATATATATATATATATATATATATATATATATATATATATAAATAGTAAATACGTGATATATATCCCACAAATAGAAAATAAGTGAACAGCACAATACTAATGTAATGTATATCTGAGAAATTAAAAGCAAAGCGCAAATCACACCCAAAATATCATGGAAAAAGTGCAAGAGAATATCAGCCTACAACAATCAATCCAAAAGCTGCAAACTCTGCTTGGAAGAAAAATGGCTAATATTACCTTCTCAGAGCAAAACAAACTACTAAATAAACGATCAGGACTCATCTCAAATAGAGTGGTGAAGTTATTTGATATGATTGTCTTTGAAGTCCCCAAATATAAAGATATTTGCAAACTTTGATTAATCCCAAATTGAAATTGAAATGATACAGATGAAATACCGAAAGACAAAAAGAAAAAAAAAATACACGATGAATAAAAAAGAAAGAAAAAATATATGTGGAAAGAAAAGAGCAAAACGAAACAGAGACAGAAAAGAAAGATGAATAGAAAAAGTTTAAAGAAATATAAAAGTGTTGAAAAAAAAAAGAGAAAAATAAAATAGAGAAACAATATAAAAGAAAAATAGTTTCAGACCCACTCGCTTTCTTTTCTTTCTCCCTCTCTCTCTCACTGTCTCTCTCTCTCTCTTTGTATATATATATATATATATATATATATATATATATATATATATATATATATATAATATTATAAAAAACGTGTGATAAAGAAAAGGGAAAAAAGGAGAAAGAAAAGAACTGCTTCCGTCAACAAAGCCCTTTAATCGAGAGAGTGGAATTTTTCGATGAGCTTGGAAACCAAGTTTTAATTGCTGTTGTTCCCAGATCCACTCTGATCTGGAGTGGTAGTGCCGGTTGAGGATCTAGCTATAGGAAAATAGCTAACCCCTCAAATTGGAGTTAAAGACCATGAATATATAAAAATACACTTATATAGTGAAAATACCAGCAATAATTGACAGATTAAAAAATACCAGCAATATTTTTTTTAAAAAATCAAATTACCTGCAATACCTTTTTTAGAAAAATAATACAAAATCTACCAGCAATACATTTTTGTAAATAAAATTATTAATACTCCGAAGAAAATTAAATTTTGTCATTAAATGACCCATAAGGAGTTGATATGAGGCTAAACAAACAAGAAAATGAAAGATCAAAATGTAGAAAAAGAACGAAATCGAAATAATTTCCAAGAAAAAATAATATAAAAAAATAATGAATCGGGAGGTGATGAAAAGAAAATTGTTTCCATGTCTAGCGGACCTGTTTTTGGGGTGTTTTTTTTTTTTTTTTTCATATACCGGCTTTACGTACTGATTGCTGAATGAGAAAAAGTAGAAAGAATTGTGAAAGATTTCAAACTTAGAATTTGCTGACTGTTGTTCGCGTTGCATTTATCATGTGACGCTTTCACTCAGTGAAGATTTGTATGTATTAGCTTTCTGACTGCGACAGAATCATTAATCATTTCTAAAGATATCACTAGAATTTAAACAACTCCCTTTACACTCCGGTACAGAAAAGTGCGAACCCTTGAGTAACAGGCACATGTTTTCACAGATTTAAGTACTTATCTCTTTATCTATCTATCTATCTATCTATCTATCTATCTATCTATCTATCTATGTAGATAGATATATAAGTAGACAGATAGATAAATAAATTGGTTATAGTAGGTAAATGAAAGAAATTCGAAAATATATAATAATAATAATAATAATAATAATAATAAGTACAGCCCACACTTTACGAAGGGTTTTATCTATGTATTTTTTTCTTTTTTTTTTCAGTCAGTGGAATGTGTCACGATGCCATTTCTAACCTTAGGTCCCTGGGCGGGACACGGAAAGAAATGTGTAAACGCCAGAAATCAAAGAAAATATTATTATTATTATTATTAATAATAAAAATAATAATAATAATAATAACTGATGTAGACAAACTCCATACCCATCAGTGGTTACATGGTACAGTGTTAAAAGCTGAATCCGAATGTTTTGTTATTTCTCCACAAGACCAATGCTTACTAACTTGGACATACCAAACACATACTGAAAAACTGTGCTAACACAAAATACAGATTATGTAATAAATGTCCAGAAACAATTGACGATCTTGTATCAGATTGCACAGTGTTAGCCCCCCACTGAATATAAAACTGGGCATGATAGAGTGGGCTAATATCTGCCCTGGAAAATATGCAAATTTTACGGGCAGGAAACTGCAGGGAACTGGTATGAACATCACACAGACACGGTTACAAAGACAGGACCTATAAAAATTTTATGGGAATTTACTATATACACAGGACAATCAAATCTAATCGCAGAGACATTGTGATCAAAAACCACATAAACAAAATATGTTTTCTAATGGCTGTTCTCGCAGTTGTTGAAAATCTCCCAAAGTTGAAAATCTCCCCGAAAAATATCAAAAACAAATGACATTGAAGTAGAAAGTGCACATGGAACAAAGCCATCTGATCTGTTGGAAAATATTCCAATAGACTCACTGAAGGGATTCCTGGTACACCATGCCATAAAGAAATACAATAGATTGTTCTCACAAGTACAGCTCACACATTACAAATAGTTTTATTAATGTAAAATCTGTAGAATCCACGGAAATAATAATAATAATAATAATAATAATAATAATAATAATAATAATTCTGGTAAACTCATTGAAGGGATCCCTAGCAGTTCGTGCCATAAAAAATCTTCAAACATACACAACTCATTCCCTCAGAAGAGCTTTAGATATGTTTCGGGATTGTTTTATTTTATTTATTTAGTTTTTTACAAAAATGTTCAGTGGAACCATTTCTGACCTTAGGACTCTGGTTGGGACCAGAAAAGAAAATGTGTATACAGCAGAAATCGAAAGATATAATAATAATAAAAATAATAATAGAGATAATAATTAATAATAACATGACAGAGTGGGCCAATATCTGCACTGGAAAATCTGCAACTGGTATGAACACCACCCAGACCCGGTTACTGAGATAAAACCTGTTACAATTCTATGGGACTACACAATACACACTGACAGAACAATCAAAGCCAACCGCCCAGATATTGTTATTAAAGACCACAAACAAAAACGGTGCCTCCTTATTGATATGGCAGTCCCTGCTGACTGCAATGTATCTTTGAAGATATTCAAAAAGCAGTCAAAATACAAGGACCTTGAAATAGAAATCTCGAAAATGTGGCATATGGGAACATCAACAATCCCTGTTGTAGTTGGAGCCCTAGGACTGGTTGGAAAAGACTGCAGTAGACTAATTGAAGGGATTCCTGGAAGTCCATGCCTCAAGAAGATACAAAAAATTGTTTTGACAAGTACAGCCCACACTTTACGAATGGGTTTTTTATATATATATATATATATATATATATATATATATATATATATATATATATATATATATTGTCAGTGGAGAGTGTCATGATGCCATTTCTAACCTTAGGTCCCCAGGCGGGACCGGAAAGAAATGTGTAAACGCCAGAAATCAAAGAAAATAAAAACAACAACAATAATAACAACAACAACAACAATAATACTACTAATAATAATCGTAGTTATTATTGAGTTTATTATTATTATTATTGATGTTACTGTGAGATGCAAATTAATTTTATTATAAAATTTATTATAGAAATTGTTATAGAATTGATGTTTTTTTTTAAAAAGAAGGACCCTAGAAAATGTGAGTTAAACATATGAGTCGTAAGAAAATATCTACATCTTATTAAAAAAAATACAATAAAAAAACCTATTTTATAACATAAGTGGCTCGCATCATTCAGTCCGAGTCAAAGGTCAATTTGTGTGGGTGAGATAATTTTAATTACTGTCTGACCATCTGCGACAACAATTCATGTTGAGAACATTATGCTTCCGTTTGTAAATGTGGGGGGGGTCCTTAATTAAAATCAATATTTTAATATTTTTAAACATATTAATTTTCTGTAATAATTTGATTACCATACTTTTTTTTAACATTATACAACAATTTATTTTTAATAAATCAATTATTTAATTATTTTAATAGATTACTTAATTGACTTCCAATACGTGTCAATAGAGTTGCCTATCATCCGGTTCACACTCCTAACCGCTATTTTCAACAGGAATAGAAGTTTTTATCCCCTGTTTCTTGTTTAGGATTGGACTTCCGGTTCCTTCTAAATTCTACTTAAACACAATTCTTCTAACGTCTCCCTCTAAATACTGAGATGTTATTTAATATTTATTCAGTTTTTTTTTTTCAATGTGAATAGATAGGTCCGCCAATTGTTCGGTTCACTATCTTCCCCCGTCTTTTAAACAGGAGTAGAGGTTTATCATTTGTTTCCAGTTTAGAATTGTGTTTCCGGTTCCTTCTAAATTATTTTCATTCCCTTTCACACTTATTATCTCCCTTGCATTTTAATGTAAATATCTCCTTGTTTCGGGTGTATTGATTAAAAAAACAATTCTAGAACAAATTCTGTCATTCGAGAGGATCATTTTAAGGAATGTAATAAAACTCAAATACATTTAGTATTTTTTTTTTTACTCAAGTAATACGTATTTATGTTGTAAATGATTGTTATACTGTCGGGTTATTTCCTCCTAATTTCCGAAACTGTTACAAGAGGGCGCTCGCTAGCACTATAAATACTCGACCATAACTATTCTCGCTCTTTTCTTACATTTTCAGCTTATACGACAACAATGTAAATCTCTCGCAGATGATTCCGTTTTCTCCACCATGGGAAACTCATATACACATGAACATTTCATACACACACACGCGCGCGTACGTAAGCACGGTTCATCACTACACATATTTTGAATCACAAAGCTCCCACATTCATTTGTTGCATTATTGTTTTTGTCATTTGTAACCCTTTTCCGGTTAATACAATATTAATTTATTTGCACACACACACACACACACACACAGATATATATTATGCATATATATATGTGTATGTTTACACATACATATATACATACACATATATATATGCATATATATAGGTATGTATATATGTATGT